GCATATTAGGGTTTTATTATCTAGGACATAACCATTTTAAATTACTCTTTGATTCTCCATTGAAGGAAATACAGCATTTAACTCATCTCCTAACATGATTGCTTGTACTTTTTGCTTGTATAAACAACACTCCAATGGATCTCCTTGTATTATACATACATACCTTTGCACACTTGCCTGAATAGTTTTATTGGGTAGGTTTTACTTGTGGAATTTATAGATCAAAGGATTTTCCCATTCTAAGGCCTTTGATACGCATTTACAAATTGCCCTCCAGAACGCCTGTGCCAATTTAGATACCCAGCTGCATGCATAATAACATCATTTTCCTTGCTACCATTGGCCGTCATTCTTCTTCTCCAATGTGCTTGGAAGGAAATGGTATCTTGATGACTCATTTGCATTTTTAGTCCTAACCAGAGGGAACATTTTAATATGTTTCCAGTTCCTTTATATCTCTTCTTCGATTATTTGCCTGTTTATACTCTTTGTCCATTATTTCCTATGGAGTGATGGAACTTTTTCTTATTGATATGTGCGTACTTTACATATAAACAATATTAATTACTTGTCTTCTAACGCTTGCTCTTTTGACAACTACTTACAGTTGTACAAACTATTGGATTTTAAAAAAAAATTGTGTGGCTGATAAGTTACACTTGCTCCATTTTGATAATTATTTTCTAATGAAATGCGGAACAATTTCTTGAGCCCTATTAACTTCATCTGATCAGGTGCTACCTGGGGCTGGCTGTGACCTCTGATATGCTCAGTTTCTCTCCCAGCCATGCTCCTATCTACACTTCTGTAGAGAGTGGCCTCTATATTTCCATGTGGGAGACAGGGAAGGGGAGTCAAATGAATGTTTATGGAGCACCACTGTGTATGAAGCATTTCACTCGATGCTTTCAGGCATGTGAAGTGTTAAATAGAATAGAAGACCTTGAAGTTCTGCTGTATGAGCTTTCATTAATTTCATGGGCATTGGCTCTCCTTTTCCTAACTGTAAGAAATGTTGTTACTTACCACCTTCTCCAAAACAATTGATGATTTAGTGTGTTTCATAATTTAAAAGGAGTTTGCTTTCTCCCTATTACAAATATTTGTTCATTTTGGATTATCATACCAGGCCAATGGACGGTGGTTGTTGGTACGTTCAGGCAACCTCTGATGAGATCCATCTACAAAAAGATATTTTGCCTTTTGCCTTTTGATTTTTTTTCTCTCTCTCATAGGATTATTAAATACTTAGTATATCATTATGTATATATTTGTGTCTTCTGTTCTTAAGCATTCTTAGACTATATTTCTTCTATAATTTTCATGTAATGTGTATTTTTAGTTTAGACATGGTAGTCCTCTCTTAACTGCAGTTTCACTTTCCATGGTCAACTGTTGTTGAACATATCAAATGATAAATTCTAAACTAAATAATTCATAAGTTTCAAGTTGTCTGTTATTCTGAGTAGTGTGATAATATTTCACACCATCCCCTCTGTCCTGTGAATTATCCCTTTGTCCAGCATATCCATACTGAATATGCTGCCCACCTATTAGTCACTTAGTAGCCATGGTCTTTCTTTGTACTTAACCAAGTCAGACCTGTTAGACATTTACTTTATTTGTTCCTTTTCACACTGTTATGGTTTAACAAGATATTTTTCTTCTGAAAGTACTATTTTCAATGCCCAAAAAATTTCATTCTAAGTGAAGACCTGGCAACCGTGAAGCATTTTAATGAAAATAAAAGCTATGAAGATTAAAGAAATTCCATCCATCCCATGAACCAAACAGATATTGGAGAAGAAGCTCCCCAGTAAGAGAAGGGATTGCAATCATGAACATTTTCTAAGAGCGATGCCAGGGAGTAACGTCAGCTATGTGCAAGAACTACTGTAGCTTTGAGAAACGCTTGCTGTGTGTCCCCCGATGAGTGCAGGCTTCCGCTGGAGAGCTTGAAGCGGGGCCTGGAGCATCCCACGCTGCTGAGGCCGTGGGAACAGTCCGGGGAGGATGGCTGCCATCCATAGTTTTGGCATGGAAAAAAAAATAGTACTTAGCACACGAACTACATTAGCAAACAGTGAAACAAAAGTAAAAACTCACCTACATACTTGTCCCCTGAGCAAGTCACTACGTGTGATTCGGGCTTTTGAATAAAAGGAGAGACACTGATGTGGGCGGCGTGGGGTGGGCCCGCTGTCATGACTGCACGTTGATATGTGACCATGGCTCCATTTTGTAAAGTTTTTGCTTTCCTTGTGTTCGCAAGCTAAGCTTATTTGGTTGCATTTGTAACCACAAAGACGGAAATCTGTGGCACTGGTCTTTGGGGGACAGTACATGTTTTGTTGGTTCCACTGTTTAGCACCCAGCTCTACACTGATAAACAGACAGCACTGTACCTGCCTTGTTCTCACATAGTAATTAAGCTGCAGAGGGAAATCCCCTTCTCCTTTCCCGAGAGCATTAGGCTAAGCTTGAAAGCTGATTCAAAGATACTTAAAATCTAAACATATGTTTTCCTAATTTTATAAATCGAAGCCTTGCCTTTCAATTATGTTTAGTGAAGTCAATAAATTCTCTGTCCACCAATCTAATATTTTATACGTTCATTGGTTGACCACTAGGCCACAGGCATCGACAGCATTTGCCTTCTCATATAATGAATTTGTGTGGGAAGCAGTTAAACGGTGTCTTCAGTAGTTTGGTCATTTAAAGGATGCCGAGGAAATAGCATTAAGTGTCACAAAATTGTGTGCATCACTTATTTAAACCTATGTTTTTCTGGAAAGTCCTTGGAATGCATTTTCCCAGAGAAGCAATAGGAATATGTGTCTGTGTTTTTAAAGCAGCAGAATCCCGCCCCCCTCCCCTGCTCCCCACTGTCCCCAAACAAAATCTCAGACTGTGCTCTGCTTGATTTTCTTGGGGATCTTTTAACCTCCAGTTGTGTTAGCCTAAATAAGACATGGAATTTGTTTTAAAGGTCTAGGTTATTTATGTACCCCCAGAGGCAGGAATGCATGGGAAATCCAGAATGTCCTCTCCTTCCATCTCTTGCCTCTAGCTTTTTCTCTGTATTTCCCCCCCACACCTTTTTTTTCTGTTTCTTTTCCTGCAGAATTGCTTTCTTAGTTTATTAATCTACATGATAGAGAACAGAGCTGAGACGAGGGTGAAGTGAATGAGGTACAAAGTTTCAGAGCGAACCAACAAATTTTGGATGGAGAGAAATAATATGTTAATGTAATATTTCAAAGTTAATGATGAGCACAATATCAAAATTTTAAATAAAGGTAGGGCTAGTATAAACATAGCTCATTTAGTGAGTCGGTTTCCAAATAGTAAGGGAATTTAATTTATCTTATAATTTTTTATTATAATTTTTGGAGTGTCTGAAAAATATCAAGTTCAATGTGTCCTTTAATTTTGGATGATTTTAACTTTTAGGATACTTGTTCTTCACTTGCCTTGATAATGGGTGAGTTTAAAAATATTTGATTTTCAGAAAGGTTAAGTCTGTCTTCCTGTCTGTAATAATAAATATTCTTTTGCCATTTTAAAGTTCAAGTGACCATCCCTGTTAGTGTTTGCGTTAGGCAATAACAGCCTGGAGATGATAACCTAGATTCTAAAAGGAAACTGTAGCAGTGATAGGTCACTAGGAAAGTGTCTTAGACCATAGAACAGTGTGCCTTAAATTATTCTCAGCACCTGCCCTACTCAGTCAAAATGGAATCATTGGAAGTGATTTAGGTTTATCAAAACAAATTTGAAATAAATGAAAGTATAGATAACCTATTTTTTATAATTATAGTTGAAGAAAGAAAGCAAGAAATAAAAAACATAATTGTGAGAATAATGTTAGAAAAAAACCTGATCAATAACAATGGGATACTTAAGCAAATTATGATATATCTATAGAATTACTATATAGTCATGCCCAATTGAGGGTTTGTATACACTGTAACAAATGCTGTATTTTAGTCATGTTGTAAGCCATAGTTTCCCCTTTTGTACAAATCAGCAGAAATAGGCACAGCTAAACACATCAGTTTTATAAGTGTTTTTACCTTGTTATTGCTTTTCAAAATATAATTGAGGCAGAAGAGAATCTGCTTAAGATTTTCCAGGTTGGAATTAATTTTTCCACTTGAGTGTATTAGAAAGTAGGTGCTAGACCCTCTAATGAGAGTTGTAAAGCATAGCCATGGACCAGGTGCCAGACTATTCAAATAATTTAATTTTCTCTTTAGAGTTACACCAGTGATTGAAAGCACAGGCTGGGGAGAGGAGGGGGTGGTTAGAAGTTTGGGGTGAGATTAAATGAATATATAGGCAAGGAGCAATTTTAAGCTTGATAACTTCATCCTATTATATATTTCCAACTATGCTAATCCTAAAGCTCTTCTGAGAATCTGTTTTCTATTTTCTACTCATTTTCATCCTCTCTGTATGTTATCATTTAAATCTAGTTTTCAGAAATCTCCTTGAACAGAAAATCATATTTCTGTAGATGTTTAACAAAGACATCCTTTTTTAAAATCTCAATTTCCCCATTATTCATGTTTGGAAGGAAAGTAAAATCGCATAAAGGATGAGTCAACTAGTACTTGTGGTTTAGAACTTTGTAGATTTTAGTTTATCAAATATGAATTTTTCCCTTTGGCCGCCTGTTGTTTTAATTTTTACTGTTGCCCTATTTTAGCTGTTGTTGAGTTCTCAAACACATTTACTTCTTAGTCCCTGAAGTTCCAATAAAGTGAAAAAGCTTGAACACTTAATCATTTTTGAACTATTGTTTATTAAAAGAGCATTCAGTCGGAATGTATGTCTCAATTGTAAAACTCTGTGGGGGTCTGGAGGCCCAAAAGGAGCGTTTTTGTGTTTAGCTCACTATGCTTTTCTTTCGTGTCTTTCTGTTCAGCTGGAATGCTTGCCAATTCTGCTGCAGACCTCTAAGGCTGACCCTGAGAACCCCAGAACCCTGCTGGAAAATGCCGTCTGAACACTGCCTCAGGTGAGCCCCGCAGCGTATGTCCTGCGTGGTGTAGCCAGCCCCCCAGTCTTCACCCCGCACATCCCAGGACCGAGTGCAGAGCAGGGGTGCAACACATATTCGAAGGAATTAAGCCGGGACCGTCTGGGTGTGTGTGAGTTTTGTCTGGTAGCACAGGGCTAAGCGCTGTGATCTGGTTACTAGTCAGACTTAGACATGTTTCATCATTCTTTTACTGATACTCGTTTTTATCTTTTTCTTATTTAAGTTATTAACCTCCCTCAAACAAAAGGCATACTGCTTATAAAGGTATATGATTTTAAAAAGTATCAGGTCCTGGCCAGGTAGCTCAGTTGGTTAGAGTGTCATCCCCACATGCCACTGTTGCAGGTTCGATCTCCAGTCTGGACACATAAAAGAATGAACCAATGGCCCTAGCTGGCTTGGCTCAGCGGATAAAGCTTCAGCCTGAGGACTGAAGGGTCTCAGGTTTGATTCTGGCCAAGAGCACATGCCTGGGTTGCAGGCTTGATCCCAGTGAGGGGCGTGCAGGAAGCAGCCAATCAATGATTCTCTCTCATCATTGATGTTTCTCTCTCTCCTTCTCCCTTTCTCTCTGAAATCAATAAAGAAATATATATGTATATATATATATATATATATATATAATCAACCAATGAATACATAAATAAGTGGAACGACACATCAGTGTTTCTCAAGTCAATAAATAATCAGAAAGCTATATATATATTCGACTGTCATTCTAGAGCAATCACTGGGGAGTGTGATACGTATTCTCAAAATACTCATGACATTTTCTCTTAATAATTTACTTATTTAACATATTTATTGAGCCAACCACCCTACTTGGTGCAGAGTATCCAGCAGTGAATATCATAGGGGAGGTTACTGCCTTTATAAAATGTAGTATATTCCTGGTCAAATCACACCAGGAATAATGCAGATGCCATCGTGAGAAGTGCTTTGAAGGAGGAGTAGAGGATTGCTGGGATGAGGAAGTGCCTTCCTGAAGAAGTGCTCTGTGATCAGAGTTCATTCTGCAGGATGGGATGACCAGGGGGAATGCCTGAGGCAGAATGGAGCTTGGCACGTTCCCCAAACCGAGAGGCAGTCAGTTAGAAAATGCAGTTTGAATATTCTCAGTGGAGGCAAGACTTCATCAGCCTCTGAGGAAACAAATGGCTCTTCAGATCAAAGAATAAGAAAGGTATTAAACCTGGGAAATACCTTCTTTCTAAAAACATTAAGAATTGGATTTGTCTAAGAAATAATGAGACCAGCTTTCCTCCACAAACCCCGAAGCTATTAGGGATGACTGGTTCCCAAAATGTGTTCCGAAACAGAGGCACTGCTGCTGGGCACGGTGAAGGGACTCTGCTGCTCTAGACAGTGACTCTCTAGGGGGATGAGTTTGCCCTCAGGATACATTATGCAAATATCTGGCAACATTTTGGGTTGTCACTCAGGGATGGGGATGCTGAATATCTTAAAATGCATAAGATAACCTTCCTCCAATGCTCTCCCCCATTGCAAAAAAAGAAAACAAAATAGATCTAACCCAGAACATGGATTTCACTAACATGGAGAAATCCTGCTCTACATTTGGCCTCCAGCCAGTAAAGATCATTATATCTGTCTGCTACCACCTCAACCAAGTGCTTTATTTCTGGCTATCAGGATCCACATGCATTCTTCTGAAAATGATATTTTTTTTCTCTAAATCTGCCATCTTTGTTTTTACTGATCAGCCCCCATTGCCATCTGTCCTCCACAGCACTATCATCTCCACAGTGGTCTTTCCTTTTCTGCTGAGACCCAGAGCCCTCCCTTCCCCGCTTTTCAAACTCCCTCTGTGTGCTGTGGAACTATTATCATCTCCCTCACCCTGAAAAATTCTGTTCGCCTCTTCACTTCATTGAGCCCACCGTCTCCTGAGGCATCACTTCTCCCGTAGCCCTTCCTAGGTGGTGGCATTATTATCTCCTCACGTTTGTGCGTTTTAGGGATAAGTAGAGAGATTGTTGTCACCCTGGGACATAGTTTTGCTTCAAGATCCTTACTCCTCACACTGGTTGTTTGAGAACAAAAACAACAACAGCAAACACAACAAAGACTTGCTTCTGAAGGTGGTGCTCTTCACCTCTCTCACCCTCACCTCCACTGCACTATTGTCTGGGCCATTTTCCTCATTCATAGCACCTGGTCTCAGTCTTCTTCCTCATTGGGAATCCTTTACAACTTCCCCATGCTCTCTGCATGGAGAACCTATCCAACTTCATGGCCTTGGATCTTCAACCTGCTTATCACCGAAGTCCTTCTTCCTTCACTGAACCGCCCTCTCCGACGCTCACACCTCGGACCTTGAATCTCCAGTAGTTGCTCTGTTTCTGAAACCACATCAAACACTTTACTCCTACCAGGACCACTTCTTCTAGCTTGCTCATAGCTGCCTCCATCCACCATGGTTATACTCAATGCAGTGTCTCATCTACGGCCCTTCTACTTTCTACTACCCATCAACCTTTTTGTCCCCTCATTTCCCTTTCTCATCCGGTTGAGATTCTACAACTCTTTTAAATCCTTAATTTCTCTGGCTCCCTGCATTTCCAATGCATTTCCCTGACAAAAAAATCACAACTCAGATAAACCCAACTATCCAGGTCCTATGGAGATTGGTTCCCCTAAATCTTTAGATTCAACCAGTCCAAAATGCCCAGAGTTTTAATATGTCCTGGTCCACTTATGCCTTCTCTCCTGCCACCCAGAGGGCAGTCCTTTTCCATAGCTGAGCCCAGCCCTGTTTCTGTGTTTTGAATTCGATCTTTCTTATCTTCTCAGCAACCTTTGACTGTGGATTGCCCGTCAGCTGTATTCTGGAGACACAGCTGGCTGTGCTTCTATTATACTTTCTATGGAGGAGTCACAGATTTACACCTCTAGCCAAGACCTCTTGCTGAGCGCAGGTCCTGTATTGTATCCTGCCTTGTCCTCGGAATCCCAGCCATTAACATTCTGCGTGAGGGCCATGCTCTCTCCTGCCACGGGATTCTAGGACTTGCTGTTCCCCTCACTGGAAACCTCTTCTCTCTCCTGTCAGCTCCAGCTGTACTTCAGGAAGGCCAAACGATTTGACTAATATGTAACTGCCTTGTAAATTGAATGTTCCACAAGGGGTACTACCAAGCTTGGTTTGTTCACCATTTTATCTCCAGGACCTAGTGCAATACCTGGCACAGGACAAATAGATATTTCTGGAAGGACCATGTCATGAACAGCATGCTCTGCATGTGATTTTTTTTTTTTTTTTTTTTTTAGCTCTTGCCATCAATTTCAGAATGAAAGTTAAAGACTCAAAGTCATGAATAGCCCTATTCCCCAAGACATCATTTATTTACCTCCCTGTTCCTGGCTGCTGACATATGGCCAATCAAACAGTTGCTCCCTGACATCACCAAAAAGCAAATCTGCTGCTCGGGGCATCTGGGGCTTGCCCTGCTGTAACCCAGCGTCTGGGCCCAGTGAGGGAAAGGAGCAGCCATGCTCGTGGGCAGCTCCACAGGTGCTCTCCTAGAGCTCAGCGGAAAGAAATGGGGCCACATCCCCCTAGGAACCTGTACACTGTCTAGAAGAACCATAGTGCAATGCATATTTATAACTTAAATTTTTCAGAGGGGCACATTTTTTTAAAAAGACAAAAAGAAACAGGTAAAATGAACTTTAGCTATATAGTTTAACCCAGCATATCAAAAATACTTGGCAGGCTTCTCCTCTCCCCCCCCCCCCCCCCCACACACACACATCTGGCATCCGGTGTGCGTTTTACACTTACAACACATCTCAACCATGCCTGCCCTCACTCCAGGGGTCAGCAGCCACGGGCAGCGGGGGTTGTGTTGGATAGCACAGTGCTAGGGGCTCCCTCTGCACTCACCTGTGGATTTGGAAGGGTTGGCATTACTTTCATGGAAGACCTTTCCCAGTTTTAGGAACACATTCAAATCTGTATATCTTTGGGAAATGTGCCTCAGGTTTTGGTCTTTCCCAGTACTTTAGGAAATTTTAGAAATATGATTTTTCTACCTTCTTCTTCCCCTCACACTGGGAAGACATGACTCTCAGCGGGGAGGTTCAATGTGCTAATTTGGTATAAGTTACGGATGCCAAGGGAGCTGTTCGCAAGCATGTGTCTCTCCCCACCTTAATGTCGTCATGGCACATTATAGCCTCTGATTCCCCTCCTCCTCCTTTATTATTGTTGGCTTCAAAGGGGCCTGCCATCTTCCAGCTGTGTTCTGTGGCCACCCATGCCTTAAGATTTAGACGGTTTGAGGTCTTCTGCAGATTTACATCTGAGAGTAAGTGGGAAGTTACTTTCAGACTACACTGACGGCTTGTTGATTAATAGGCCTTTATTTCTCGCCAAATGTTGCAGTATTTGTTTCTGCTTTGAGGGATTCCTAGCATATTGGTTCCAAAATATTTGGAATCTTTTGCCTTAAATATTTAGTGTGTTGTTTTCTTTAAGCTTGACTATTTCCAGCCCAGCTGAATGATCCTGGAAAATTGGGCAGCATCACCATTGTTTCAGAGCTAAGTCCTTTATTCTTGGGCAAATTTCAGTTTACAGCTGTTCTTTCCCCGGCAAGATTTATTCCCTGTCAGTTGATATCTGAAATTCAAATACTGACTCAGTCTTGATAAAAGGACACAAATTGTGGCACTATCTTTGGAAAATGAGTAAGGAAACATCTTAAGGCAATTATTTTAATATATTCTTCTGTTCCACTACAAATGAAATTTCAAGATACATTTATTAAGCATTTAGGATGATATTAAAAGGGAGAAAAGTTATGAGGGTTTTAAGTAAAATTGTTAAGGTTATAAAAAAAAATCTATCCTCTAGTGTAAAACTTAGTTACAGTGCAAAGATAAATGTTTTGAATCACGATTTCAAACATTTCTTATTACATGAATATGTTATGTATATTATTTTTTAAAAGCAACTTTGATTTTGCGATTAAACCATGCATAATATAAATATAAAATTACTGCAGACCTTGTGATGTTCTTTCTTTGCAATCATAGATATTTGATGTCTTTTTTATAGATGATGACATTTTTTGTTTTGTCTTTTTTTGTTTGTTTTGTAAGCAGGAGGATGAATTTACATTATTGTGTTGTTGGTGAAACCTTCTCAAAATGCCTGATCTTACACTTTCAGCTTTACCTGTAAAACAGAGATAATGATGGTCTCTGCCTCATAGGATTGTTATGAATGTTAAGTGAATTAATAATTATAAGTCATTAAGAGTAATTCATGAAGCATGGTAAGAGCTTTGTGTTTGTAAAATATATCAAAATGTTCTTTTATTTAGGAGAGATTAAAAAAAAACTATTTTAAAGCTCTACTTATATGATACAATATTTCTGTTACAATTGTATTCCTTCATTTCTTTAATTGAGCCATGCTAATTAATCTCCATTTTAGGCTTTGCATAGAAATTTGTATTGAACAGTTATTGATGCTTCTGAATGCAGTTTTCAATTGCTGATTTAAAAAGTCTGCCGAATGCCACAGCCACTGGAAGATGAATATTTGATGACAATAACCACTTCAAAACCCACTGCTGCATTTCAACTGAAAACAATCCTCCCACCTTCCCACGAGAACTTCCTATATCATCACCTCCTGTCAAGTTTTTTTTGTTTGTTTGTTTTGTTTTTTTCTTTCAACGGTTCTGACATTTCGGAGGCTCCCCAGTCAGAAATGCCCAATGCAGCTTCCTGGCTGCTCTCGGGCGTTTCACAGGAAGCACTGGCTTCCATTTCAGGTGTGATTTGTGCTGAATCGTAACCTACCAGCCACCTGGCACCACGGGCTGGGCAGAGCCACGTCAAAGGCATTACTCATGCAGTGTAGCCAGCGGTTCCTCCCTCAGTCCTCTGAGAGGCTCTTTCCCACTCAGGGAGAGGCGGGCCATAGGAATTGTCAGGAGAGGAGAGACAGTGCTCAAACGTCCGTGTGGGATCTTTCCTCAGCTTGACGAGGAGGCTGCAGACCTGAAACAGAGTGATGGCCCTTGTTCTTGTCCTGGGGGTGATTTATGACTGGTGCCACTCCTCTGTCTCAGCCCAGTGCCGGTTCTGAGAGTTAGAGCGCTGTGGAGATCTTCACACATCTGAGCTGGAATTGTTCATAGCTGCCTGCAAATGCCGTTTGCGTTTTGTGCTTATGGCATTACTCACACATTATTTTAGGGAGATCAGAGGTTTCACCCAGGAGTTTTGAAAGGATATGGAAAAACTATTTTAGAATGGAGTAGGGAATGAAGGGGGAAAGTTTCACAATGGATAAGTTTAGCAACTTCGAAGAACAGAAGAGATAAAATTGTATAGTCATTCATAAATCTAGCTCAGTGATCACATAGAGACATTGGTGGCTGAAATTGTAGATATATTTTACTTTCAGCCTTAAGTGTTTTTCACTTACAATGGCATTTCCTTTGATGTTCATAATTTCCCAAGTTGAATAATAAGCAGCTGTGATTAAATTAATTGCTTTTTGCATGGAATGGTCACAGGCAGCCCTGTTTTTTCTTACCGGCATTTGCTTCGTTCTGTTTTATTTACCAATAGAGTACTGTGTGCTTTGGGGGAGGGGGGAGACGTTGGTGACGTGCGGACCTCTGGTGAGTCAGGCAGGTGCAGTGGATTCTGTGCTGGAACCGTGCATGGCTGTGATCTCTCCCTGAGCTCGTGTGTCCTCAGAGGACAGAGTTGGTGCAAAGCTGAGAAGGAAGCAGAGAGCTCGGGAGGGGTCCTGGATGGACAGGGACACCTGCAGACATCCAGTTGGATGGCCTTTCACTGAGATGTGCACGTCCTGAGGATAGAGGCTTAGACGCAGAGGCTCACAGGCCCACGGGCATGGGTCAGTGCACAGACACAGGTAGACACACAGACACCACACACACACACACACACACACACACACACACACACACACACGGACACAATTCAGAAAGAGAAGCACGAGTAGAAAGAAAAAGAACCCTGAGGGGGTGAGGTAAGGGAATTCTAGAAAAGGGGAGCAAGAGCCTGGTAGAGAGAAAGAAAACGGGGGAGTCCAAAACCCCACTCCGGTAGTACGTTGGAGCCCCCTTTCCCTGTCAGTGTTGAGGGAAGAGGCACGGGGCAGCCAGGGCTGGTGCAGGACACACGCTGACTGGATTGCTCTCCTTCACAGTATTCAGGAAATGCTGACGGGCCAGCGGCTCTGCCACTCGGAATCTCACAACGACAGTGTCCTGGCAGCGCTGAACCAGCAAAGGAGCGACGGCATGCTCTGCGACGTCACCCTGATTGCGGAGGAGCAGAAGTTCCACGCCCACAAGGCCGTCCTGGCGGCCTGCAGCGACTACTTTCGGGTACGTCCAGACTGTTTCTCTTCAGATGCCAGCTAAGCAGAGGATGATAACATTTCCTGAAGGGCCGCACCACCAGCAGCCAACTAGATGACAGTTCTGAGTTGTAGGTTTTGGGGTAGAATGAGGTGGGGCCCCATTGGGATCTGTCCTCGGCTGGACATCTGGATGTCTCTCCTTTGTGTCTGAGATGAGGGGCATTTAACATGTGACCGCCCTAAGAAAGTGTGGTATTGTAGTGATTCATCACAGGAGGTGTGAGCTAGGATTAGGATGTTTCTAGATTCAGGATCAGAAGGAGAATCTGAAAACAATTTGCTAAAATAAACCAAGTCCCCTAAAGATATGTAATGCCTCTGATTTGGTTTTTATGCATGTTCCAGTCTTAGTGCTTACCAATATTTGCTCCAGGATCAGCAATGCAATTGGCCTCATGGATGTTTCTGGTTGACATGTGTGTCCACAACGGCTGAAGAAGACATGTTGCCTTGTTTAGCAGGACTCTGGAGTTTGAGTGCTCATGGCGAAAAAGACGTGGTGGCGTGCTTATTGTTTTGGAGATGAATGTGTACAGTGAGGTTATAGCTAGTTGAATGCCATCTGTTTAGTACTTCAGGTGATTCAGGTGGTAGAAAAGGATTTTATATGCATATCACATTTAATCCTCCTGACAACCCGTTTTACAAACACATACAAGTGCTATAAAAATAAACATTTTTTATATATGGAAACAGAGTCTTAGAAGTTAAGTAATCCTATATAATAAAAGGCTAATATGCAAATTGTCCCTTCGACCAGGAGTTGGACAGGGAGTTCTACCAGGAGGTGGGGCCAGCCTGCCTAACTCCCACAGACCCTCCCCTGTCCAGCCCCACCAATTGGCTCCTCCCACAGCCCTGCCAACTGCCCATGGCCCCTCCCCCCAGTCACCCCTGCCCTCAGTCACCCATCCTACTCTGATCGGGGTGGGGCCAGCTGGCCAACAGCCCATGGCCCCTCCTCCTGGCCAGTCCCACCCCAGTCACCCCCACACACTCTAATTGGGGGCAGGATCAGCTGGCCCCCACCCATGCATGAATCTGTGCATCCTGTCTCTAGTTTTAGATAACTCAGAGGTTAAGTAATAAGTCACATAGTTCCTAAGTGAAATTAAAATATGGATATAAGAAAAAAATCTTGATAATCATTAACCAGAATATTTTTAAATATTAATTTCTAAATATACATTATTTAATTCATATTTATTTTTTCAGTGCTATTTGGTTGGTAATTTCAAAACATTACAGTGTACAATCTATATAAATGAGAATATACATATATGTGTGTGGGGGGGGGAATGAGGCACTGGGGTAAATTTCCCTTATGAAAGTCTCAAAAATGATATAGAAACCAACTTAGGGACATGGGCAATTTGTTGGTTTGATTTGTATGTTTCCAATAATCTTGTTTTTTATTATGAAGAGGCAATATCAACTGCACTCAATTGTGATCAAGCAGTTAAAGAGAATTTTCAAAGGTGCCAAATCATAAAAGTAGACTTATGATTTACCAATTATTAACACACTTAAAACACAAAAAGTGTTTTAAGTGTGGTAAAACCTAGTAATGTAGGGGATAAATAGGTAATTACTTAAAATGTCTATCTAAAATAAAAAAGGAGGGATTTAATTATTAACTGCAGCAATGAAGCAGAATATCTGAAAAGTGACCTTTCGTTTCATTAGTATAATGATATCTTTTATGCACTCTCAAATTGTTGGGCATTAATCTTCCAGAAAGTTTAGATTAATTAGAGGTCATTTCAAACAACGTACTTTGGATTGTTAGATATAATATGTGCACATTACATAATAGGTGTCCTGTCTTCCTGTGTACTGTCTTGGTGCTTAGCTGCTCTCCTCTGAAGTCTCTCCTGATTGGGTTTTTAATTTAATTTTGGAAAATACGTAGTTTGATTTTGTGCATGAGTTTATGTGAGCCAGAGCATGCATGTGAGTACAAGAGAACATTTTCCTTGTTGGCATTTAATAGCGTTTGTTGCTATACCCAGTTCTTCATCTCTTCCACCATTATGCCCCAGACACTCTGATAGGTTAGGCCTCTTTTACAATACCTGTGTTATAATACCTATGAAGAAAGCTCTATTGTTCCCCTTCTGCAGAAAAGGAAGCTAAAGTGCAATATGTGTAAATAACCTGCCCAAGGACTGCCAGACATTAAGGAGAAGAGCTGATTTTCACACCCCAGAGCATGTCTCCTTGAGTACCACATGTACTTATTCCACTTAACCACATGTCCTGCTGGGTTCATACACAGTTCCTTCAATGTCATCACCTGTTTGTGAGATGAAAATGAAGTAACTGCTGAAACCGTTTTGGCTCAGTGGATAGAGTATTGGTCTGCGGACTGAAAGGTCCCAGGTTCGATTCTCATCAAGGGCATGTACCTTGGTTGCGGGCACATCCCCAGTAGGGGGTGTGCAAGAGGCTGCTGATCGATGATTCTCTCTCATTGATCTTTCTAACTCTCTATCCCTCTCTCTTCCTCTCTGTAAAAAAATCAATAAAATATATTAAAAAATTTTAAGTGACTTATGTATTGATTGTTCTGATCAATAAATTGAGACAAAGTTGGAACAATTGTCACCGTCTGAATAGTACAGTCCATAAAAATTTAATTTTTTTAAATAATGGGTAGTAAGTATGACTGTCCTTTACTCTAGAGAGAGACATTATTATACTGGACAGGATAATAGCAGGAGAATGGTATCTTCCAGGATTGTAAGCAAGACTGCCTTTTGCTCCAAAGGGAAAACCACTCTGTCATTCAAATCTCCTTGCTATAGAAACATCCTTGAAAAGAGAGTTCAGAACAAAGGACAATTAGTGTCTCACTCTCGATACATGCATAAATGCAAGAGACCTGTGGAGGATCGTCTCCCAATAACCACATGCCCTAACTCACATTATGTTTGTCTTTCTTGTGTCTTATGCACTGCCACACTGAAATATCTGGAAGCAGTCCTGTGTATTTCAGAAGCCTTATAATGTTGCTTCAGGCTTAGTAAGTGCCCAATTAATATTTATTTAAGTGAATAAAGAAATGTTTTCTAATTGTCATAGAATATATGTATATTTCAGTGCTTAATATCCTGCATATAAAATATGCACATTATTCATGAGTGGTTTCTTCTAGTGTGATCTGTTCAGATTAATTAAGTACTTCGATGTAAATAGATTCTTGTACTCTGTATACTGATATCTGGCAGATTATTTTGAAACTGAAGTAATGTTTCTGATTCAGGAGAGGTGGGGCTGCAAAAGTGAGAAGGCCCCAGTTTTTACATAAACAGTTTCTGTACATTGATCTGAGAGTTGGCATCAGCTTTTCTTGATTAAAATATGAATAATGAGCAGTTGAGCATAAAGTACTGTGTCTTCTTGTGAACATCAACATTTTAAAAGGAAGGGTGAAAACAAAGTATTTGGCCAAGTAATAATGATTTTAAAATAAGGTTTAATATTAGTGGTGTGCCAGGGTTCTTTTCCCAGCCTTACAAACGGTTCAACATTCTGGAGAAAGGGGTTGCATGTAGAAGATTAAAGAGTCTGGAGATGAAAGATAATTTTGAAAGGCATTGGGCGTTAGAGGATTTCCAGCTAAAAAAAGCTAAAGACTCTCCCTTGACCAAGGACCGGTGCTTTTATTCAACACAATTTATCCTAAAGCAAGGTGGAACTATACACTTCAAAGGGTTAAGTATCAAAGGGTTTACACAGATTATCAGTTTCAGGAATAGCCTACAGATGTTCAGGTGTTTGGCCAACAGGAGGCAATAAAATGCCCTGAGCTGTTGGCAGTTAACAATCCTATTCAGGTTTGGGGGAAGTGCTGTTTCGCTGTTTCCAACAGGTAAACTATATATGTGGCTCACCCTTGTTGAGCCGCCCAAGTTTCAGCAACCTTTTGGTGAAACTCTTATAATTATTACATTCTGGAATTGGTTCCCAGCAGGGGTGTGGGATTCACCAAATGCGATAACTGACTCAGACCAGGGACTTTTAAAATAAGGATGTAAAGCAGTGGTAGAAGGAAAGAAGGGAAAAGCTTATGAATCAGATCTAAGTTTGAATGCAGCGGCAGGGATTGTGTTCACCACAGTTTCTCCCAATCCCTGACAAATAGTAGGTGTTATTCTAATTAATATTGGATTATTCACTCTCTTTACTATCTATTCTTCAATCATAGACACGTCATCTTATTTCTGTAAACCTAAGTTTTTTTTATTTGTAAATAGATGACCATAAAGCACAGCTCTCGGAATGGCTTGATATAGAGATTTACAGGATCTATTGTAATGCACTAAGTGCTGTATCTGACACAAAGAAGACCTCCAGGGAACACTAGCTGTTTCATTCCTTGCACTAACTTGCAATTCCCTGTCATGTCCTACCTGACTATTTGTAGGAAAAGAGAAGAGTTCATACTTAGGCTCACCTAATTACAGACTCATTTTCCTTTTGATGGGTAAGAATAACTTTTTGGTTGCATCCTTTTATCATCTTTTCATTTTCTGAATCTGATAACCCCTTCCTTCTTGTGTAGAACATTCTAGTAGACGTCTGACATTTCTCCTTTTTTGGTTGTCCCTTTGCTAACTAACCATTGTACAAACAACTGTATGATTACTTGCCCTGCTCAGGTCTTCCAAAGCTCCTCACTGCCAGTCTGCCAGGCTCCTGGAGTGAGCTTTCATGCTGTGCCATCATCATTATCCTCATCTTTGTTCTCCCACCTGTTCATTTGATGTTGCAGCCACACTGTTCTCTAAACACACTGTGTTCCACCTGAGGACCCTTGCCCTTCTCAGCCTCCTCAGCCTCCTTGCTGATGACTATTTCTTCTACATGGAACTCCTGTTCCTTTCTTGGTTCATCCTGTGCATCTACGAACATGTATTGCAGCTAACAGCAAGTGTCCTTCACACAGGCTTTACCCTCTGC